AATCCGAAGGAATCCTCCGGAATCCGACCGAGTCCTCAGCGAAATCCTCATCATAGTCATCATCAGAATCATCATAAACATCATCATCATAATGATCATCCTGTACATCATCTTCATCATCGTCGTCATCGTCATCATCACAACCGTCATCGTCCTGAATCGTGATCATCACCAGCATCATCACAATCATCATCAGCACCACCATCATCATCATAATCATCACCATCGCCACCATCATCATCATCGTCATCATCGTCGTAATCATCACCGTCATCGTCATACACCAGCACCACCATCATCGTCATCCTCGTCATCATCATCATCCGCATCATCGTCATCATACTGATCGCCACCATCACAACCATCATCCTCGTCATCATCGTCATCATCATCACCTTCTTCAACATCATCATCAATATGTAAGCTCCCAATGCAACCTCAGCAGACATTCGTAGAGCAACCCAAATGCAAGCAATGCAAAATAATGCAAAGCAGCCCGATGAAAAGCAACGCAATATCTTCGGAATCGAAATCGGCGGGCCCGGACGGAGACGGCGTTCGCTTCCATCATGCTCGATTGTATGGACGGGGGGCAACTTAAAACCGAAAACCGAGTGTCAAACTCTTAAGGTAAATTTATGTTCTGGGATCCAACATCGGCCACATAAACCTCTAAAACATATACTTCAGCGCCAAAGAAGGACAAAGACAACGACACATCTTCAGAACAGCGGTTCACTATTACACGACCCGGACGGGCACGGCGTTACCTACTACTACTACTACTGCGGCGACGACTACTACTACTACTACTACTACTATTACTACTACTACTACTACTACTACTACTACTACTACTACTACCACTACTGCCACTACTGCTACTACTACTACTACTACTACTACTACTACTACTACTACTACTACTACTACTACCATTATTACTACTACTACTACTACTACTACTACTACCACCACCACCACCACTACCTACTACTTACCGCCTACGATCTACTACCTTCTCTCTACTACATGCTACGTACTACCTACCACCTGCGACCCACTACCCACTGCTACTACCACTACTACTACTACTACGACTACTACTACTACTACTACTACTACTATTACTACTACTACTACTTCTACTACTACTACTACTACTACGACGACCACTACTACTACTACTACTACTGTTACTACTACTACTACTACTACTACTACTACTACTACTACTACTACTATTACGACTACTACTACTACTACTACTACTACGACTACTACTACTTCTACTACTACTACTACTACTAATACTACTACTACTACTACGACTATTACTTTTACTACTACCACTACTACTACTACTACTACTACTACTACTACTGCTACTACTGCTGCTATTACTACTACTACTACTACTACTGCTGCTACTACTGCTACTACTATCACTACTACTACTACTACTACTACCACCACCAGTACTACCTACTACTTACTGCCTACTATCTACTACCTACTATCCACCACCGACGACCTACGACCCACTACCCACTACTACTACTACTACTTTTACTATTACTACTACTACTACTACTACGACTACTACTACTACTACTACTAATACTAATACTAATACTAATACTCATACTAAATACTAATACTACTTACTTCTACTTCTACTTCTACTTCTACTTCTACTACCTACTACTACTACTACTACCACGACTACTACTACTACTAGTACTACTACCATTACTTCGACTACTACTACTATTACGACTACTACTACCAATACTACTACTACTACTACTACTACTACTACTGCCAATACTGCTACTACTTCTACTACTACTACTACTACTACTACTACGACTACTACTACTACTACTACTACTACTACCACCACCACTACTACCTACTACTCAGTGCCTACTATCTATTACCTACTATCTATTACCTACTACTTACTACCTACGACCTACGACCCACGACCCGCTACTACTACTACTACTACTACTACTACTACTACTACGACTACTACTACTACTAATATTACTACTACTACTACTACTACTACTACTACTACTACTACTACTACTACTTCTACTTCTACTACTACTACTACTACTACTACTACTACTACTACTACTACTACTACTACTACTACTACTACTACTACTACTACTACTACTTCTACTTCTACTACTACTACTACTACTTCTACTACTACTACTACTACTACTACTACTACTACTACTACTACTACTACTACTACTAGTACTACTAGTACTGCTACTACTGCTACTACTGCGACTGCTACTACTACTGCTACTACTACTTGTCTTCTTCTCATGTTTCTTTTGGTTATTCAGATTCTTCTTCATCAGCAGGTTTGTATTGTGCCCTTTCCGCTCTCGAGCGCTCTGCTGCCCGCCGGTGACTCCGGTCCCCCAACTGCACCGGCCGCGCCACATGCCCCGCCCCTGCAGCCGCGGCGCCGATGGTGGGCGTACCAGCCAGGCCACACGCTGGGGGCTGGGGAGGAGGTCAGGGGCAACGCCAGGCCCTGACCTCCTCGCGTCGTGAAAAAATCATGACGGTAGGTTTTTCGCTATTTTCGGCCTCCGGGGGCCCTTACCGGGCCTCGGGACCGTCAAAAAACAACTCAGGACGAAGAACTGGTCCCGGGGAAGGGGTCCAGACCTCTGGGGGTCGACGTTGTGAAAAATTCACAACGTCGGGGGTCTGGGGGGGGGGGGTGCAGTCAACCCGCATAGTAGAGGTGGGCAACCTTCCCAAGGGTACCCCTTGCTTCCTCGCGCCTTCGGCCCATCCTTAGCGACTTTCGCTGGCCAGCCCCGTCCGAGAAGCGTTAGCATGGCCCTCCAAGGCCCTTGCATTCTTTCCCCTCGTCCTTGCTATGCGGGTTGTCTGTAGGCCTAAGGTGGGGCTCCCGAGGTCGGGCGACGAGAACTATGCACATGCACCGATCCTGGCAAGGAGGAGGAGGAGGAGGAGGGGGAGGAGGAGGAGGAGGAGGAGGAGGAGGAGGGGAAGGAGGAGGAGGAGGAGGTTCCTTAGGTCAGCGCCTCGACTGTATACGTGAGGGTCTCGCCTCATCGCTTCGATATCGCTTCGCCAGGGTTCAGGGCTTCGTGCCCCCTGCCGCTGGCACCCCTCCTCTCGGGCGAAGAGGATTATGCACATGCACCGATCCTGACAACGTCCATCCTTGACCCAGGATCGGTGCATATGCCTTCCTGGCCAAGGTAGGAGGGCGTATGCACCGATCCTGGGCTCAGGATGGGCCTGGCCAGAGTCGGTGTATGTGCATAGTTCTTTTTCCTCTATGAGGGTCGGGTCGGGTCATCTGCGGATCTCGGTCGGTTTGGTCGCACCTCCTCGTCGGCTCCCTGTGCTTGCAGCCCCGTTCCCGGGGGGGGGCCAGATATCGCCCAACGCCCCGGCCGGCCGCGGGAGAGCCGCCATTGTGATCTGGAAACCAATTCTAGGGGTTGGGGGGATGGGCTTAGGCGGGGATGCATCGTCCTCCTCCTCCTCCTGTTTCTCTTCCTCTTCTTCCTCCTCCTCCTTGCCCATTGACACTAATAGCCTTCTCTTCCTCCTCCCCCTCCTTCTCCTCCTCTTCCTCCTCCTCCTCCTTGCCCATATGATCTAGAAACCAATTCTAGGGGTTGGGGGGATGGGCTTAGGCGGGGATACATCGTCCTCCTCCTCCTGTTTCTCTTCCTCTTCTTCCTCCTCCTCCTTGCCCATGGACACTAATGATATGATGACGACGTGGCCTTACTGAGGTCCCATTCGATGCATAAGGGACACTACATCCTGGCGATTTGATCCGATACACCTGCCGAAAAGACCCGAATGTCGTTGGCCATCCTAACTTTCAGGTCCCCTCCCAAAGGTTTGGGGGTCCTTGCAGTGCTAAGCACAGGGGGGATACGCTGGCCCTACTCGCCCACTGATCGCCGATGGGGGCCCGACCGCCTGGCCCGCCCAGATCCGCTGTCGGAGACCCCCTCGCCGATCTATCGGAGGTGCATCGTGAGCCAGTCCTTTCTCACGCTTCCCCTCGGCAGGGAGCAACGACGCGAGCATAGATTTTGGGAGGGCCGCGTGGATCCCCTGGGTCGGCGCCGCAGCCCGCTGGCGGCGCCTCTTGCGCGGGCTCCAGAAGTCCGCGCAGACTTCGACAGTTTTTTAGATTTGAATCGTTCTAGGGTAGGTCATAGGAGGAACAGGTATTCATAACGCTACCTGTTTGTCATATTTTGGGGCCTCCTGGGAGGCCCTCGTCGCCGCTGCTGGATTCGACTTGAACATTTGGTCAGAACACACCCTGGGAGAGGTCTGGGGAGTAGCGGTATCGGTACCCTTTGGTTTCCCCTGAATCGTTCTAGGGCAGGGAGCGATGGAGGGAGGAAGGAGACGGTGGCGGAGGGAGGAGACATGGGAGGGGAGGGGGTGTGATGAGGAGGGAAGGGGAGGGGACGGTAGGGTAGGGAAGGGATGACAGATGCGAGGCGGGAGCATGGCGGCACGATGGTGGGGGATGATGGTGGGGGATGATGGTGGGGGACGGCGGGGGAGGTGAGGGGCTGCAGAGATCTGGGTGGGCAGCTCGGGAGGCTCCCTCCATCTGCCGTCCTCCCCTTCCGCGGCTCCTTCCACGCTCGCCCAGAGGGATCACCGTCACGGTGTTCCCAACATCCGATGGATTCGGATGTCTTCACGATCCGTGTATCCCCAGCAGCTTGGTAGCTAATTAGGCTTGCCCGTTTTCCCGGACTCCCTGCCCGCCGCCTGCCTCTTCGCTTGCGGCCGCGACCGAAAAAGTATCCCCAGCAGCCCACTGAAAAGTCCTGTTCACGAGAGCTGACGGGGAACGGGACGAACAAACACATGTGGTGGAACAGGACGGGCAACCAGGGTGAACAGGGAGGCCTCCGGGAGCAAGGGGTAGCCTTGGAGGGCCTCTTCAGGCCATCCCTGGGGCCTTTGTGGGAACGAGGGAAAGAGGAGGAGGAGGAGGAGGAGGAGGAAGACGCCGACGACCATGATGACGAGGAAGAGGAGGAACAGGAAAAGGAAGACGATGAGGACAAGGACGAGGACGAGGAGGAGGAGGAGGAGGATGAGGAGAAGGACAACAAGGACGATGACAAAGCCATCAACATCGCCTCTTGGAGCCCGTTCGGTGCTTTTTGGGATGATTTTGGTGTCCTCTTGGGGCTCTTTTGTGGGAGGTCTCGGGGCCCTTTTGGGGACCTCTTGGATCGGGAGCCCTGGAGGGCTTCTTGGAGGCCATCGATCAAAAGGGGTGGTATTTAAACCCCCTCCCCTGGGGCCATGCAAATTGCCTCTTGGGGCCTTCTGGGGATGCTCTTGGCCCGATCTCGGGCGCTCTCGGGGCCGGTTAGGGGGGCCTCTCTTGCAACATCCTGCTTGAGGCTTCAAAAGCGCATCGGAAAGCGAACGGGAGAGAAGGCAAACATCTGCCCTTGCAGTCAAGACGCTGAAACAAGGAACATGTTAGGTTGGGAAGGGGCCGGATGTTCCTTGGGTCTTTCCGTGGCTGTTCCTCTGGTCTTCCTCGTGAGCGAAAGCGGTTTTGAGGTTTCACAGGGGCTTCGTTCCTTACGCAGCGCTCCATCCATATCTCAGCGGGCCGACTGTATTTTGTTGGAGGACGTTGGCCTCTTAGGGGGGGGGTCCAGAGGTGTCTCCGATCGGAAGCTATCTTGAACCATCGTCGGCTAGATTAAGCCATCTTGGAGGCCCTCTTTGAGCCATCTTGGGCGCCCTCACCGATCGCGCACCCCGCCCCCCCCAGAGAAAACTCATGGAGGGGAGGGGAGGGTACCCCCGAAGGGCTGATTGGATTACTCCGAGCAGGTGGAAGTTCCCGGCGAGTCATGTCTTCGGTGTGCTCCTTAGTTGGTGTTCCTTCCGCCGCCTTGCCGCTCCCTCTCCTGCGCACCCTCCCCCGCTTGGTCCCTTGCTCACTGCTCTCCTTCCTCCTCCTCTCCCTCCTCCTCCTCCTCCTCCTCCTCCTCCTCCTCCTCCTCCTCCTCCTCCTCCTCCCTCTACCCTGCCCCTTCCTTCCGGAACGCCCTGGGCATTCGAGCGGTCGGTGGGAGCTTTCAGGTGGGGGCGTCGGGAACTCGGATCCTTTGCAGGGCCCAGACTCGGGCGTCGCAGGGCAGATCATGCGTGAGCCTTCTCCTCGATGGGTGGGTGGACCCGAGGAGGAGGAGGAGGAGGAGGAGGAGGAGGAAGAAGAAGAAGGAGGAGGAGGGTGGAGGTGGAGGACGGGGATTCGGGAGGGGGGGATCGAGAGTAAGTGGAGGTTGAGGGTAGCGGGGGTGGGGAAATGGATGGCTCGCGGTTTCCAGAGGCAACGGAGGAGGAGGGAGGAGCGGGAGGAGGGGGAGGAGGAGGAGGAGGAGGAGGAGGAGGAGGAGGAGGAGGAGGAGGAGGAGAGGAGCAGGAGGAGGTGGAGGAGGATGAGGAGGAAGAGGAGGAGGAGGAGGGGGAGGGGGAGGAGTTCTGGTTGCCGTCTTTTTTGCGTTACGCCTCCCATCGCCGCAGGGCTGTGGCGGCCGCTCTGTGGTGGCTCGCGGTCACCAGAGACAGCGGAGCCTACGGTTCCAAGAAGAAGCCCCTGTTCGAGTACGACGACCACTACGTCATGCTCAACGACTGCTGCTGCATTGCTTCGGGGCTCGGTGCAGTCTGTCAACATCCACTCTGATGATGCGCTTCGCCAGGCATCGGCCCTGAAGCCAGGGGCCTTGGGTAATTTCGGGCTGATGAGCTATGCCTTGTGATCTGACACCCTTTTGCAGGTCTGCATCCTCGACCAGTGTCATCATAGTGGATGGTGTCTCCGCAGTGGATCGTAGGTGCCCCTGCCGTTTGCAAGCAGCATGTCTTTTCGAAGCGTGATCTTTCACGTCTCTGCATTGCACATTTGTGTACGCACTCGTGGTTGATATCCAGTCAGGCTGCCACGCAGACGCATTCGTGCACTTGGCGGAGCTGTGTACCAACTCTGCAGCGTGGCTCGGCTGTCACGCTGCATGGCTGCTGCAGTGTTTCTGGGCACCCTCGGTGAGAGGCTCTCCCTCTCTCGGAGGCCCCTTGAATGCATCTCTTGGGCCCTCGGGACGCTTCTTCGCGGCTCTGCGCGGCGTCCCCCCAACATACTTATACTATGTGTTCGTCGCCCCCCCAGGGGCGACGCGCGCACCGAGAAGTCTTACAGTATATGCGTCGTGGCGGGCGCTTTCTGGCCACACCGCTCTGGAAACGATACACTACAAGATGGGTATACTATATGTTCAGGTAGTACGCGCGCCTCCAAGGAGGACATATAGCATTAGTATGTCTCTGTGCGTCCCATCTGCGAGGGCCTCGGAGCTGTCCCGAGGGCCGCCCTGCGGCTCTGCACGGGCCTCGGATGCTGTCCCGAGGGCGCCCTGGGGGGCCGCCGGTGGGCTCTCCGGGGGCCGTCCTCGGCGGTCGTCGTGGGGCCGTCCCGGGGGGGGGTCTCACAACGCCGTTGGGTTCCTTCGGGCTCCTCCTCCTCCTCCTCCTCCGCCTCCTCCTACTCCTCCTCCGCCTCCTCCTACTCCTCCTCCTCCTCCTCCTCCTCCTCCTCCTCCTCCTCCTCCTCCTCCCTCCTTCCTCCTCCTGCTCCTCCTCCTCCTCCTCCTCCTCCTCCTCCTCCTCCTCCTCCTCCTGGTCCTCCTCCTCCTCCTCCTCCTCCTCCTCCTCCCCCTCCTCCGCCTCCGCCTCCGCCTCCTCCTCCTCCTTCTCGCTGTCGTTTTGGGCTCGGCCTGGGGCTTGGCATCGCTCGGACGTGTGCATTTTCTTCGGCGAGGACCTTCGAGGAGCATCCTCGACCATTCGGCGAAAAAAACACGCACGAAACCGAAAAAAACACAGGAAATGGACGTCCGAGCGATGGCCAGGGGGTCGTCGTGTCCTCGGCGGGGTCGTCGTGGGGCCGTCCCGGGGGGGGGGCAGGGCGCATTTCGATTCCTCCGATTCGATTCGATTCGATTTCGATGGCTTCCGATTCCGATTCGATTCGACGTCGGATTCGGGGGAGGGCAGGAAGGTCACGGACTGCGTGTGGCGCGCTGCTGCGCGCGGCGAGGCAGCGGTCGGCACGGGCCAGGCCTTCCTCGTGCTGCTGTGGGGCCTGGCCAAGGCCTTCCTTCGAGAAGGTCTCGCACGCCAAGCTGATCCAAACGGCGCGTGCTGTGGGCTTCCCCGCGGCGATCCTGCGGGTGGTGGTCGGCGCTTTCAGGTGGGCCAGGCACGTGGTCATGGACGGGATGGTCTCCGCGGGCATCCTGCCCGACAACGGCATTGTGGCGGGGTGCTTTGCTGCGACGTACGCCTTGGCGGCATACCTCATCGCGGATTTGAAGGCCCAGCAAGAGCGCCACCCCGAGGTGCTGCTCTCCGTCCACGTGGACGACATCGGGCAGGAGGTCGTGGCGGGCGCGGAGGGCGAGGCCATCGCGCTCCTCGTCGACGCCGCCAGGGACCTTAATGCCGCGCTGCAGCAGGACCTGCACATTGAGCTGGCCAGCGGCAAGGGCACAGTTCTCGCCTCCACGGACCGCATCTCCAGCTGTGCGCAGGACGCCTTCCGCAGCCTTGGCCTGCCGCCGAAGGCTGCGCGCCGCCGGCGCGGGACGGGCTCCACGAGGCACCTCGGCGTGGACTTTCGCGCGGGCCGCCGCGCGCAACTGCGCGGGGTGCCCGGTGCTCGTCGCAGCGGCGCCGCCAGCCACAGACGCGAGCTCCCTGGCGTAGTCCACAGTGCAGACCCTGTGAGGAGGGCGAGGCTACGCCTGGGCCGAGCGCGGATGCGCGAAGCGCTGCAGGCGGCCGCCGTTGTGGCGGGCTGCAAGCGGGTCTGGCACACTGCGGCGCTCCCGTCTGCACGCTGGGGCGGCGAGGTTACGGGTTTCACGGACCTCGAGATCAGCGACCTCCGCTCCCGCGCCAAGCGCGTGCACGGGCACCCGCGCGCCAGCAGCGACATCATGGGCGCGCTGCTTCCCGCCTTGGATCCGCTGGGCGACTTCGCATCGGCTGGCAGTGTGAGGCTCGCGGAGGAGTGGTGGCGCACCGCAGACCGCAGGCAGGCGAATGGGCGCGTCATCCCAGCCCCCTGTCTGAAGGCTGCCTTCGACGTGGCCCTCGGCGACTACCGCGAGGGTCGCGCTGAGGCAGGGCCCATTGGGGCCATGTTGCGCGTGCTGAAGTGGGCGGGCTAGACCGCCATGCATGCAACCTCCTTCCTCTCGCCCACGCATGGCGAGATCTCCGTCCTCGCTCGAGGGCCCAAGGAGGTTGGCCTGATCTTCCAGGCCGACGTGCTACGCGAAGTTGAACGGCGTGCGGATGCAGCTGCAGCCTCGCTCTTCGGCCTGACGGACGCGCCGATCTGGTGGGGGGCGTTGAGGACTGTCGTAGGCGACGAGCGCATCGACCCCCTCCATCGCCACATCCTCGTCGGTTTTCGGCGGCACATTCATGGCCAGGACGCTGGCCGCCCGACGGGGCTACGCGATAAGCCCGCTGTGCCCGGCATGCGGCGTCGAGGGCACCCCGCTGCACCGCGTCATGGACTGCGGCGCGCTGAAGAGCGGCAGATGTGAGCAGGGTGACGCCTGGCCTGAGGCCGTCGCCGCCCTCCGCGCTTGTGCCGACTGCACTCTCGAGTGCCACCTGCTGCCGCAGAGTCCCTCCCTCCACCTCGCGCCTCCTTCGTCTGTCACTCGTGCTTTCGTAGGGTATGAGGAGGTCAGCCTGTCGCAGTTCTGTTTTGTCTCAGGGGAGCCCGTGGCTGGTGACGGATCGGCCTCGACTTCGCTGCTCGAGTCGCTTCGTCGGGGGGGGTTCGGGGTTGCGCAGTGGAACCCAGCCGCGGGCAAGCTCCACCGTCTCCTGGGGA